TATATATATATATATATATATAATTAATGTGAGTAAAATTTGTCACTTAACTGATTGATGTTAGCTTAAGCATCCCAACTCTGGAGTTTCATATGCAGACCTGTCCGTCAACACTTCAGGGGTTATCTTCAATATAATATATTTAATTTTCCATATTTAAATATAACTATTTAGTACACTTTTGTATCTCTGAGTTTCACAGAAAGCAGTCTAAATAGGTTCTTAAGTGTAAGTTACCCCCTCTAAAAGAGTACCTTTGATTACCATTTTAACACAAAATATTTGATGCAGCTCTGATCTTAAAAAGTAAAATATCTTTCATTGCTTCTTTAATTTTTTTTTTCTTTGTTCTTTTTTTTTTTTTATCAACCTCAGGTTTACAACAGAGTAACACTGCCCTCAAAAAACATGTGTCCGAATTAGAAGAGGCTTTGGCCAGAAGGGAGTCGTCACTTGTTGAGATACAGACCCACTATAGTGATAACGTAAAAGAACGAGAGGCAGATGAACGAGATTATGTCAAAAGAATTCAAGAATTGGAAGACTTGTTGATGCAGGAAAAGTCCAACCAGAGAGAACTGAGGAAACAGGTCAGTGTTTTGATTTTTTTCTTTATTTTGTTTTCTTTAATAAAGATTTTTTTTTCTTTTTTGTTTACTTTAATGAAGATTTTTTTCTTTGCTTGTTTATTTATTGTTTAAATGGTATGGACTTGTAGATTTCATGCCCAGTCAAACAGGTATTCCTAAAATCTAGATGACCAGAGCTTAGTGGCTGATCTCTCTTCTGACCTTAATCTAACAGCTTAATTGGGCTGGGGGACTGACTTGTGAATTTCAGTACCTCAAAATCCAGGCTAAACCTGAATTCTAACCAGTCACAAGGAATGGTTGTACGCTCAAAAACACTCTTTGCTTTAATAAGCATCTGTTGGTACCCTAGTTCACTCCTATAACTTTCTATTTTATTTATTTCCTTTTTTTAATCGTTTCACCCCAAGCAAGGCAATAAAAGCCACTAGAATGCAAGGGGACAAAGACACAAAGAGGACAATAAAAGAACAAGCTTCAAGGAGACACTAGACTATGATTGACATTGACTTTAAACTTTTGAAGATTAGGAAGAGATTTCCACAAGTGAGAAGTGTAAGAGAAGAAACTATCAGTGTAGAACTTATGGTTACAACTAGCAATTTTAACAGTTAAATTATGTGACCTAACTGCCAATGTAGTACTATGCTTAAATTCATGAAGTCAAAGTACCAAAGAAGAAAGCTCATCAAAACAATTACCATGAAAATATTTATAGAAGAGGAAAAGTTAAGCTACATTACGGCAGTGGGGAAAGTGACTGCAGCCAAGATGCCAGATCAGGACTGATAATGTTGCTGATTCTTCTCTTGGAGTTGATCAAAAATCTCTAGACACATAGCAGAAGCACCAGACCAGATGTGGCAGCAATATTTGACAGACGGATGAATAATAGGCTTATAAAATGTGCAGGATAGATTCTGGCATAACATAACAAACCAACTTTCCTAGCAGCAAACTTAACAAACGGATTCAATGTAATCGTTCCACTTCATGTCAATTGAAAAACTTGAGACCAGGAGGGCGCAATGAGTTCTTCTGGAGGTTAGCATCAGCCATGATGATGAAAGGCAAAAAAAATTCTTTAAAATGATTAAGATAATTTTGAACTTGTCTGCTTGCAGATGACCATACATTGTCTCTTTACAATTGATAGTTAGTCTTTTCTTCCTGCTTTCCCCTCCTACCTTGTCTAGAATTTTTCAGTTTTCCTCCTGAGTCGACCTTCCACATAGTGTCATTCACATGTCTTATGGTGCTAAGATTATGTCTGCCAATAAAAAATTTGGGTAGGTCTGCCCCGCTATTTAATTTCTACCTGGGGAGAGAAGAAACCTTTCCTGCTTTTCCCAGAAGCATTTCTGTGAAATTTAATCCATCCGACTACACTGGAATTTGAACTCTGCTCCTTGATATCTGTTACAGATACATGCAAGCAATACATCCTAATCAACAATACCAAAATCCTCTGCAAAAACAATTGTAAAAAAACACTTAAAATTCTCAAAGCTATCACAATTAACAACCAAAAACCCAACATAAATAAAATAGGATTTAATAGTGGTAGTAACATCTTAAATGTATTTATTAACTAATCCTCCAAATAATAAATACCAACCCCTCCCAATTGCTAATGAACTAATCCAACAACATGGCCTGAATACCCCAAAATATTCTCTATAAAAATAAAAACCAACCTACTTAAAACCAAAGCATATAGCCATGGTGATGATTGACAAAAAAAAAATCAGTTTTGTACATCTCATAAATTTTATTTCATCGTCTTCAAAATACTCACCTTGGGTCTTCATGCATTTCTCACAGTACTTCTGTCACTGATGGTAACACCCTTGGAACACATTCTCTGGAATGCTATGGAGCTCATCCCCTAGAACACATTCTCTGGAATGCTATGGAGCTCATCCCCTGGAACGCATTCTCTGGAATGCTATTGAGCTCACCCCCTGGGACGCATTCTCTGGAATGCTATGGAGCTCACCCCCTGGAACGCATTCTCTGGAATGCTATGGAGCTCACCCCCTGGAACGCATTCTCTGGAATGCTATGGAGCTCACCCCTGGAACGCATTCTCTGGAATGCTATGGAGCTCTGTGGTCATTTTTCTCCCTGTTTCTTCTCGCAACTCGAATCACTTCCCTTTCAGCATGGTTTTCAGATTGCGAAAGAACCAGAAGTGACATGGAACCAAGTAGAGAGTGGGGAGTCAAATAAATGGGGTGTTGTTCTTCACCAGGAAAGCTTGAATTATGTGGGTGGAGAATTTCATTGACACTCTCTACATGCACAAATTCCGTTAAAATGTATTGCGCTGATCCTGTGCTTATTCTCACTTCATGAGCATTTTCCTGGATTGTTACATGATGATCTTTCATGGCCATTTGCCAAACCTTCCCAATTGTCTCATTTTTTTTTTTTTTGTGGGGGCCTTGCTCTCCACTGATGTGTGGTCCTGTTTAAAGCGGTTATACCTATGGGAGCCTTGCCAAAAGCATGCTGAATCTTTTGGCAAAACTTTATTCAATATCTTTGCTTGATGTGTTTGGCTATCCTGCGTGAAAGCGGAAATATGACGCATGTGCAGTACACTGTACTCTTGTTGTAACAGCCAGGAACTGACATGGCCCAAAGTACAAAAATTTTCACGCATACACAGAAAAGACACTGTCACCTCTTGCCCAATGGATTTTGCCCATGTGACATTAGTTTTGATGGACAAAATTAAAATTGGATAATTTTTAAATGCTCCTCGTATTTATCCAGCTTTTCACTTTCATCTAATTTTACTCTCGAGTCTGCTTTGATAATCCATCATCTGATGTACATTTTTTTCTCTTTGTTCATTATAATTTGATATGCTTTCAAGCCTGGATTGAGAAATCCATTTGAATCTCCATATTGTACTCTTCTTCATTGTATTTCTAAAGATTTTTTTATTTTTCAATTTCAGATTGGTACCAAAATAACAGAAAACAAACGTTTGAAGCGACAACACAAGAATTTGAGCCTTGAACACGAGAATCTAGAATTGGATGTTCAACAGAAAATGGCTCAGTATGACACCATGGTTGAGGAACTGCAAGCCAAGAAAGATGAGGTGCAAATTTTGCAAAGTCAACTACAGTCCGTGCATCATGACAACAAAGCCTTGCGCACAGAAGTTGAACGATTGCAACGAAGCCTGACAGATAATCAGGATCGCAGCCCAGTGATACAGGAACAACTTCAGGTTGATACACATTTTAACATTTTAATTAGATATCTCCACTCGAAAGAGCATCCCATGATAAAAAAAGGCCCCAAACTTATGAAAACAATTTATTATCATTTAAATGTTTGTTATTAAGGGGACAGACCAAAGTATTTTTTGATTATTTTTACATGTTTTAATCCTTTCTAGCACATCTGAAATTTTAGTTAAAAATCTTTTCTTTTTTTTTTTATTTTTTGTCAGCTAAGTTACCATAAAATCAATGATGTCCGTCATTTGTGGGAAATTTGTAAACAAAAGTTAAATTTTCCATTTAAATATGTTATAAAAATCAGTTATACCTTTTTCAAAAGTTATTTGTGGAAAATCACAATATTTAAAGTTTACTTAATATACTTGGAAACAAACATTACTTACCTTCTTCACAAAAAAAATGTAGTTTAAAATAAAAGCCAGCATGTTTTAACAATGGTGACTATTAATAAGTGGTTGTTTCATCAATGTATTGATAGCTAATGTGAGGGGAAGTTATCACATGGAAGAATGGAAGTGACATAATTATTTTTAATTTCACTTGAACCAACTTATTTACCTTGTAATTTTAAATAAGTAACAAATACTTTCAGCAATCCAATATTTTATTATTTTTTAGATTCTGTAGCTTTAACCTTACATTTGTTGAACATGCTTTATGGAAAAATTAAAAATACTATAAAAAAATTTTAAATTGCATAATGTCTGAGAGTGAGATAAAATTTCATAAGAGAGATAATAATTTTTATGTAAATCTCTTATGAAATTTTTATTATTATTTTTATTAATTTTTTTTATCTCCTTTATTTTCATATTATCTCATTTATGAAAAAATGTCATAACTGAGATAGTACAAAAATAAGACCATATATAATGTGTTAATTTTTTTTTATGTATATTTAATCTTGAAAATGTGAATTTTTTGTACTAATTATGTAATCATTTACACTTTTTTGTTTTATTTAGTCATAGTCAAGTAACGATAGACATTTAGAAATTAAATAAAAATACAATGCAAATAGTATCAGCCTTTTGGGAAAATTTTGTGGCCCTAAATTTTGTTGGGCTTGAAAACGTCTGTTTGGTTATTTTTTTTCTGCTATTTTGCTCATGGCTGGGATCCTAACAGGTGCTACCACCCTGGGTCAGTGTGGACCTGGGAACAACAGCAATTATAAGGTGGTTGTATGCTCATCAAAACCTCCAATCTAATGCTCAGAGTCCTTGCCGCCAGGACAGGTTGTCAGGTAGAAAATTATAGGACTCAGATGACCTAACAGTGTCTTATAATTTTCTGATATAATCAATGGCCCTTTCGCATTTGTCCAATTGATAGTCTTCATTTTCATAGAATATATTATAATATGGATCAGAAAAATCATTGACCTAACCTAACTGGTCGACAGAATCAATAGTTCAAATATGTTTTATCCTATGGCACACTATATCACCAATTAATTTTGTAAATATCTTCCACAAAATTTGGCGTCAAATCAAGGAATTTTTCCTTGATAGCAGAACTTGTGTGGCTTATTTTTCGTGACCTTTTCTGGAATCCAAATCTTGTTTTCTTCAAGTTTTTTATTTATCCTCATAATAATTTCTGCCTCAATTTACTGTGGATGCTTTTTACTATACTATACTTTATTTCCAAATCCAAATACTGTTAAAATTGTCATCCAATTCATTGAAGAATTTCTATACATTGTTGTGTTTGGATTTTATTATACAGGGTGTCCATAAAGTTCGTGTGCACTTTAAAAATTTATAATTTTATTTGTATTTGCGATAGAAATAATCAAAAGTCGGTTCTAGTTTTACCGTTTGTCAAAACTCTTTCCAAGACTTCATGAAGATTGCTTTGCAGTGACTTTGTGGTGGACTTCACCACATTAATTTAACATTAGATTAAGAAACAAGACTGACATGGTAAAGGATAAGTAAAAGACGTTACACATAAAATATGCATTTAAGATGTACAATATCAAACAGAGCATGCATTTAAGTAAGAAAAGGTTGAATAAAACAAGAGTTGTCTCTCTTTAACTGTTAGTGTTCCAAAGTTCACTTCGAAGAATGTTTATGAGAGTTTTCTGTTCTCAGAAGATTTTGCGGTGTAAGAAAAGATTATGCAAGTGTATAAGGAATGTTCAGCATGTGAGTGGTGTGTGTGAGTGAGAAGGTTGGCACATGGTTTCAACTGTCATGGATTTGTTTGGCAGCTGAATTCTCACTAATTAGCTAAGAAAAATTCTTGCTTAAATAAGTGACTATAGGTTCCAGACTGCTGCACGGGAAGAATTATTCTTCACGTGCAGACGATCCGATTGGTTGGCATTGACCAATCAGTGAGCAAGTTTTGGGGAGACTTAAGAAAACTTCAGTGACCCATTTCTCCCAAAAATGCACAAAATTGACTTCATAAAAATAGAGCAATTACAAAATTGTCGCATTGCTGCGATTTGTAAATTGTCTATAATAATGTAGTGGTGATTTATTAACCAATGAATGCTTGTTGTTGTATGTATTTGAGAATGTATGTATGTATGTACGATATAGATTGGCACAACTTCACTCAACAGCCATGATGAATCTTCCTGGATGTCATTAATTGCATAGAATTTTTTACTTTCTTTGATTTTTTAACTTTCTTCGTCTTTTTGTTTCAAGAGTGCAATTATTTTCCTTTCATTTTCAATTTTTTATTTATTGCAATGATTGAAAGTGATATCTCCATCGGGTTTGTTGGTGTCTGTTCTTGAGGTCCTTCAAAGGGCCAATTCTTCGCAGACTCTTTTAAAATTTAATGAAATCTCTTCCATTACGTCTGGCTCTGTAAATTTTATGAAGTTTCATAACTTTGGAAAAACCAATTTCGGGAAAATCATTTTTGACATTTTCCAAGGGTGCCCATTTTGCTATGTTCTTCTTTTATGTAATGGTTTCACAGTGGAGGCTTGTATTTGTACTAAGTCGGTCCTAAAATAGGTTCGACGTACAAAATGTTAGGAACTTGATATAATAGGTAATGACGCAGTAAAGTTGTGGTGGCTGATACTTTAATATCCGACTAACGGTCATCCGACATCGACTGACTGACTGACCAACTCTCTGCCAACTCGGCGACTGCTTCTACTACTCCTACTTATTATAGGTGGGAGAGTCTATTAACTATAGAATAGGTGTGTTCCAGTATAACACCTTCATTGACTTATTTTCATAAAACTTCTTTGACTATATGGTCAAACAGAATTGGTTATCCACATACAAAATCTGAACTAGTTAACTACTGTTTGCTTTGAGTAACTGCAGTCACATAAAATCATCTACTCAGGATATCTTTTATTCCATATGTGTAACAAAATTATTTTAATTTTTGCGCATCAAATTATGTCCCCTGTTTTATGGCCCTGATTCTAGACTTTTACCCAGAATTATGTTGCAATGGAATCGAACGATTCCATAGTTACTCTAAAACGGTTTTAGAGTAACTATTATTTGCCAAATAAATTCCTTCCGTGCTGTGATGAGTTAGAAAAAGTTATGAAATGTTGCTGATAGCAATGAAGAAAAACAAATGAGTTACCTCCCTTGAGTTTTAAATTTAAATGCCTTCGTCTAAGGTTGTTTTTTCTTTTTGGTCGCTTAGGAATGAGATTTGCACCCACACTTCTAAGAATAAGTACAGCTATTTACCAAAGTGTATGGTTTTATATATATATATATATATATATATATATATATATATGTGTGTGTGTGAAAAGTGTATATAAATAAATATATATATGTATAATTATTTATATATTATATGCACGGTACTTATTAGAAAGCACTCAATATCAGAGATAGAGCTAACATATTTGGTTGATAGATGTGAGTTTGTGACCCTGGGTTTCACGCTTTAGCGCCTGACGATCGCTAAAGTGTGAAACCTAGGGTCACAAACTCACATCTATCCAACCAAATATATATTTATATGTGTAATACACACACATTATTTTCAACAAAATATATATATATATACATTGTAATACTGAGAATATTTGTCTTGTAATAAATCATCTTTGGTGGCTCAGAAGTGAATTCTTAGAATTATTCTCTCATTTGGTTTTATTTCCAGGGTTTCCAGTGGCAATTACATCAGAAAACAGCTGAGCTTGAAGCAGTACAAAAACAACTTGTATTATCTGAAGAAAGACATCAAACAGAACTTGAAAGCTTAAAGAAAACTTTGCAAGTAAGTGATATTTGTTGTTTTTTTTCTTTCTTCTTTTTTTTTTTGTAGACTGATGGTGCAGCGATAGGGTTTACCATTATTGTTTATTTCTGACGGGATCATCAATCTTGTAGTGACAGTGTTATCGTTGTTGTTGTGATAGTGTTAAAGATATTTAACTTTGGCTAGGACAGGTGGGATTAATGACAATGCGTTGACACAATGAAATTTATATTTGACGTAAATAGCACATAGTATAAAATACAAAACTGAACGGAATGATTTCAAAACACAACAATTAAATTTATTTGATACATGATACATGCACAAGGTCGTGTCCCTTTGATTAGGTGAAAAAAAGGTAGGACAAGGTCGTGTCCCTTGATTAGGTGAACTAAAAAGGTAGGACTATTAAACTAAAAGGTAGGACAAGGTCGTGTCCCTTTAGGTGAACTTAGGACAAGGTCGTGTCCTTTGATTAGGTGAACTAAAAAGGTAGGACAAGGTCGTGTCCCTTGATTAGGTGAACTAAAAAGGTAGGACAAGGTCGTGTCCCTTTGATTAAAACTAAAAAGGTAGGACAAGGTCGTGTCCCTTTGATTAGGTGAACTAAAAAGGTAGGACAAGGTCGTGTCCCTTTGATTAGGTGAACTAAAAAGGTAGGACAAGGTCGTGTCCCTTTGATTAGGTGAACTAAAAAGGTAGGACAAGGTCGTGTCCCTTTGATTAGGTGAACTAAAAAGGTAGGACAAGGTCGTGTCCCTTTGATTAGGTGAACTAAAAAGGTAGGACAAGGTCGTGTCCCTTTGATTAGGTGAACTAAAAAAGGTAGGACAAGGTCGTGTCCCTTTGATTAGGTGAACTAAAAAGGTAGGACAAGGTCGTGTCCTTTGATTAGGTGAACTAAAAGGTAGGACAAGGTCGTGTCCCTTTGATTAGGTGAACTTAGTCGTGTCCCTTTGATTAGATCATATTATTAAGAAAGTTTGGAATTGTGAGTTGTAAAGTTGGTAAAAGTTCAGTAGAGATTTCTGAGTTTGTACTTGCGTGAATGTTGGTAATTGTCTTTAATGTCTGGCCAGCAATGACTAAGATGGGAGTTCTTGAAGGTTACATCTTGGCACTTGGTAGCAGGGAATGAGACGTGCGAGAGAGATGAATGAAAAGAAAAACTACTACTCAGAGAGTTCACGTGTGTTTGGTTTATATAATGGTCATGTACCACGTGAGAGGTTCCTAGCATTTGAGCGGGAAAACAGATTGGTTGCATGCAGGCGGTTTGATTGGTCGGAACTGACCAATCAGCAAACTAGATTGGATGTGATTGACCAATGAATACTTGTTGATTTTTGTATGAAATAGGATGTTACTTACCAGATAGGAAGATTGCATTTCCTAAAAAGAGGTAAGGCTGGTTTGTTGTGGAAGATCCCACAATGGCTAACTTAAGCTCATATTATGAATTTGATTGTTAGTTACTACAGAATTGTGGCTTTATACCACACTAGGTTTAGTGCATAGTGGAGCTTTTTTTCTCTCTCTCTTTTTTTTTTTTTTTTTTTTTTTAGTGGTGCGTTGCCAATCATTTCACCCCAAGGAAGGTGCCATAAAGGCACAAGGGATTACTGTGGGGTGAAAAAGAATAAGAAGACTGCGATGAAGAGAATAGACAATAAATGATTAAGATTCAGGAAGACAAAAAGATGGCAATTGATGTATTTAAATTTTAGTAGATTGTAGGTCACACAGAAGGAAATTGGAAAAGAGTTCGACAGATGAGAATTGCGAGAAAAGAAATGATTATAATAGAATTTATCGTTACATCTAGCTAGTGCAACAGCAGAACTATTTCAACCTCTTTAAATTTTCCTTAGTTTTCCTGATTAATCTTTCATAATTTGATTTGATAACCTTTACTTAATTAGCATCTGTAAAACACTTGAATCTATGAATTGATAATAAAATAAAAATAATATCCCTATCTAATTTGCACAATTAGTAATATTGAGGAAATGACAAAATGGAAAAAGTTTATTTGTGTTACATTTCATCCGTTAGAACTTCATCGGACTGGGTTTGTTGACGAGCATGAACGAGGGACACTGGTGTGTGTGTGTGTGTGTGTGTGTAATATATATAAAATTATGAAATGGATTAAATGTGAAATATTTTAATTTGTTTTGCTTAAATGTTATTTTAGATGGATACTGAAAAAAAAGTGATATTCATCACAATTGGAAATATTTAATATACACAATAATAAAGTGGACATATTGCCACAAAACTTCGAAGACAGGGAAAAGTACAGTTAGCTACTGAAGGAAAAAAATAAATAAAATTTCAGAGTTCAGACAGGGATGTTAGAAGTTTAGAGTTGAAGTAGACTTTAGAAGGAACCGGAAACCTAATCCTAAACAGGAAACAGTGGATAAACCTTTTAGTGTATTTATTTTTATAATCAATTCACTCCAAGTTGAATTACAGTTTTTCAACTAGATGTAAACATAAGCTCTACGCTAACAGTTTCTTCAATCGCACTTCTCGCTTGTGGAACTCTCTTCCAACTTCTTGCTTCACAGTCAACTTTGATCATCAAAAATTTAAATCCGATATCAATCGTTATCAGTTGTCTTAATTCTTGTTCTTTTATTGTCCTCTCTCCTTAATAGTGTTTTTTTTCTTATATTCTCTAACACTCACTAACCCCCTTGCATCTTAGTGGCTTTAGGCCTTGCTTTATGTGAAATGATTTAAAAAAAATAAAAATAACTTTAGCTTACAGCTATATCATGTTGAAACACCGGTTCTTGTATGATCATCACAGTTAAGGAACTTCTCATCAATACCTAAATGGATGGGTGACCACTGTGGAATACCATGTGCTGTTGGCTTGAATGTGTGATTGGTGTAATCAATAACGGTTTGGAATTGCAAATTAGAGAGCCAACTTCCAATTCCAGTTGGCTTCTTTATATTCACTTATGGTCAAATTTTTTGTTAAAGGTATGAATCCATCTCTTATCCTTCCAGCTATGGGTTAAATTATTATCTCTAAAAGAAAATTCTTACAATCCAAAAATATTTTCTGGCTTCAAATAACCTGTAAAAGGTTGATAAACTATAAAAAAAAAAATAACAATCAACCAATCTATGGACTTTAATTTGGCTTCTGTATCTCTTGACTGGTTATTTTGACCATTCTTCTATGTAGAATCGCCGCCATTCTTCTATGTAGAATCGCCGCCATTCTTCTATGTAGAATCGCTTCGGCCATTCTTCTATGTAGAATCGCCGCCATTCTTCTATGTAGAATCGTCGCCATTCTTCTATGTAGAATCGCCGCCATTCTTCTATGTAGAATCGCCGCCATTCTTCTATGTAGAATCGCTCGCCATTCTTCTATGTAGAATCGCCGCCATTCTTCTATGTAGAATCGCCGCCATTCTTCTATGTAGAATCGCCGCCATTCTTCTATGTAGAATCGCCGCCATTCTTCTATGTAGAATCGCCGCCATTCTTCTATGTAGAATCGCCGCCATTCTTCTATGTAGAATCGCCGCCATTCTTCTATGTAGAATCGCCGCCATTCTTCTATGTAGAATCGCCGCCATTCTTCTATGTAGAATCGCCGCCATTCTTCTATGTAGAATCGCCGCCATTCTTCTATGTAGAATCGCCGCCATTCTTCTATGTAGAATCGCCGCCATTCTTCTATGTAGAATCGCCGCCATTCTTCTATGTAGAATCGCCGCCATTCTTCTATGTAGAATCGCCGCCATTCTTCTATGTAGAATCGCCGCCATTCTTCTATGTAGAATCGCCGCCATTCTTCTATGTAGAATCGCCGCCATTCTTCTATGTAGAATCGCCGCCATTCTTCTATGTAGAATCGCCGCCATTCTTCTATGTAGAATCGCCGCCATTCTTCTATGTAGAATCGCCGCCATTCTTCTATGTAGAATCGCCGCCATTCTTCTATGTAGAATCGCCGCCATTCTTCTATGTAGAATCGCCGCCATTCTTCTATGTAGAATCGCCGCCATTCTTCTATGTAGAATCGCTCGGCCATTCTTCTATGTAGAATCGCTCGGCCATTCTTCTATGTAGAATCGCTCGGCCATTCTTCTATGTAGAATCGCTCGGCCATTCTTCTATGTAGAATCGCTCGGCCATTCTTCTATGTAGAATCGCTCGGCCATTCTTCTATGTAGAATCGCCGCCATTCTTCTATGTAGAATCGCCAAGCCATTCTTCTATGTAGAATCGCTCGGCCATTCTTCTATGTAGAATCGCTCGGCCATTCTTCTATGTAGAATTGTTCCAAATCTTTCAGATTTGATGATTTCCATATTTGGACACAAATTTTCATTTAATGCCATGAATATCCTGTTAGGGTTCAGGAGATTGACAGGTTCATTGCATTACACTTACCTTTTTCATCTTAAACCATACTGAGGCGGCTTTCAAGATCTCTTTGGGTTGTTGTCATTGTTTGTTCCAATCAATAAGAATGTCTGCTAAGAACGTCCCCTTCCCAAATGTATAGACAAATCCTGCAGATGCATGTTGGGATTTCTTCCTAACCAATAAAAATAGACAATTCTTGGTCTCATAACACATAATTTTATTTTTTTTTATCTTGAAGTCAGAACACTATAATCACTTGACTGCATCCCTTTCACGTGTGAACACCGTTCTTACTTTGTAAACTTTTTGTCTTACTGTTACTTTGCCTAGTTTTGACTTATATGTGGAGTGATGTCAGCTAAAGATTTCTTTGAGGCGAGAAACATCGCTTTTTTGTTTCATAAAATGAATCATAATTAGACCAGAACAATCATCTACAAAACAAAATGTATATTTGAAACAATTCAAAGTTCTCAGTTCAATCAAGTCGGCTAAATCACAGTGAACAAGGTCTGATATTTTAGTTGCCCTTTTGTCGGGTAACTTGTTTTTATACTGTACCATTTTGCCTTTGGATATCTTTCACAGATTAAATTTGATTTTATCGGCAATCTTGATGTCTTCCACAATTTCTTGTATCTGTATAATGTCTTTTAGATTGCAACGTACATATATATATATATATATATATATCCCTACATTCAAACAAAGTATATTCTCAGTACAACCACTACCAAAATAGGGGTTCCATAAAATTTGGCCATAATTATTCAGAAATTATATACCGTAATGGTATGAAATTCAATATAAAAAGAAGTAGACGATTATATTATTTATACACTGCAGTAGCCTTCAAAACTTATGTGTAGCCTAAAACAATGGCATCAAATTCTAGGACATTGCTGTAAGTTATTTTTTTTTTTTCTGGTTTTACGTAGTATGCTGTGTTCATCTTTCCCACAAATAAAACATTGTTGGCTATGCTCTAATAATTTGATTTCTGTTTTGTTTGACTAAATAGCTGTATTCCACTTATTCAACTAAATTAAAAAAAACAACTTTTTAGTGAATGTTAAATGAGCTTTTTTATGTTTTTTCTTTGACAGAGTATTCTTTTTTTTCTGCAACTCATCGGTGAAATCTGTGTCAGTTTAATGTTCTACAAATTGTTAACCTGACTAAATCAGTTCCAGCATTTTTAACATTTGCATGGGTTTCCTATTACACTGTCAGAAGTCAACCCCTTATTATGCCATCATTTTTTCTTTGAGTTGCATATACTCTCCATTTTAGTTGCTCTCATTGGAAGTGTTTAAGTCATGTGCTGTTTTGTTGTTTGGCGAAACTCTTTGTGATTTTGTAGCATTACTCTGTGAGGTCTGATGACTTTTGTGAATGGAGTAAAACTCAAAGTAAAATAAAACTAAATTCTCTCCCCTAATAACAAGGTATGACAAACTCTACCAATAATGTCAGAAATCTCATTACAATTTAACACTGGGATTCCGAAAGAGGGCTGTACTGCTATCTTGGCGATGGTGTAAAGATCAAGGGGATACAGTGACAAATAAGTGGGTAGGTATTGCCCACTGGTCGGGAGGGCAGGGGTTGCTTCTTTTTTTTTTTTTTTTTTTTTGGCTTTACAGTTGTTCACTCTGTGCAAGGTCTAGGGGACCATTTGTAGTAGGTAGAAAATCAGAGAGTAAGAGGCTTGGCTTACAAGGATATGTGCAGAAGATATCGTTTAACTCTATAATTGAACTGTAGCGATTAGAGAAACAGTGTCTTGGGGGTCACTTCCCCACAGTAATGGTTCATGGGAAGAAACGTGGAATATAAAGGGAATGAGGGTGATTCGCTACAATGGGCATGGCATGGCAAGTCTTATCCGTGACGGTTAGGACTGGTGGAACTCGGGTGTATTGTTCACCTGAACACTCTCCATGGAAATAGCGATAGATCAGCGAGAGGCTTGAAACATCTCATCTGTGAGAAAGGGGGTTAAAGGGTGGAAAACAATTTGTTACCAATGCGGAGACTCTTTTGGTCTCTATTGGAAAGTGGTAAGTGAAGACTGAGCAGCTTGTGCCCATATATGGCAGTAGTACCCCATTTTCAGCCTGGCTCTTGTAAAGGTAGAGGATAGCTGGAGGAGTAAGGTACTTACTGGCGTGGTACAAAGAGCTGATTAATTTGCCTACATCTTTAGCAATGGATCGTATGTATGAGTTCCACTTGAAATCAGGTGTGAGTCTGAGGCCTAACATTCTTTCAAGACAGTGTGCCTCCCCGAGGGGACATGCGTTCATTGTGGCTGATGGTAGTTTGGGCTCCAATTGGCGATGGTGGAATGTAGCTAGTTATATAATAGGAGGAGTCAGGTGCTTACTGGAGCGGTACAAAGAACCGACTATTTTTCCTGCATCTTTAGTGATGGATCATATGTACAAGTTCAAATTGAGGTCTGGATTGAGTTTAAGTCTCAATAGATGCTCAAGACACAGGGCTTCCCTGAGGGAACATCTGCTCGTCACAATTGGTGAAGATAAGGAAAAAGTGTTCAGAGTAAAGATCTGGGGCGAGCGGTGAAGAGAAAGTAAGATCTAAAGTTATGATTAGGAAAAAAAACGTGTGAGGGAGATAACATTAGAACTAAGTAATGATTTTGATCCCCCCAGCCAAAAATCTAAGTCACACTTAAGTATAACGTATGCTTTTCAAAGAATAAAATTGATAAGAGTTAAAAATGAATGGATGGTTTTATTTTGCTGTCTGAAGTTAAACGTCTGAACCTTTGCATCTTGCGGACATTACCTGGGCAAGATACTCACTAGCCTAATCAGACAGCCAATGTCTGCAGGAGCCTTTGTTTTAGCATTGTGTAGGTATAGCGATATGTTTGTCTGGTGAATTATTATTTTGAATTTAAAGTATCTAAATATGAAGACAATTCTGTGTATGACAATAAACTACAACTGGCAGCAAAGCCTCTGATCAGGAGATTTTCAGGAACCTGGAACCACCTCTCAGATGCTGCTGTTCCCAAGTTCACCCTGATCCAGGGTGGTAGCACCTGTTAGGGTCCTAGCTATAGACAAATAATTAACCCCCAAACTGGGGTGAAAACACTATGAAAGTATAAAGATTTTTATAATAGTAAATATACATATTCATAGTAAAAAAAAATTCTGTAAATAAATAAATAAATAAAATATAAGCATCAATACATTTCTGTAAAGAAAAACAAAAAAAAAAAATGGACCAGCAAGATATTTTGTAAATTTGATATTCCACTAAACAAACAAATATTAAGAAAGAAGTGTTTTTATATAGGTAATGGGAGTAGGTACTAGGAATGGGACCTTGGAGCCAAAGGGGTGGTAGCTAGAAAAAAATTTGGAAACCACTGATATAACGTATATAAACTTTTTGTTTTTCTTGCTTATGCCTTTGTTTAGGAGACAAATTCAATCTTTTGGGGGGGGGGGGATTGTAGCATGAAAGAAAGCCAGTCACATAAATGCCTGACATGATATGTCATATCAACCATTTATTTTATTTACTTTATTTATTTATTTTTTTTTTTTCAGAATGCAACCAAAGAAATGGAAAATCTCCGAAGTGAACTAAGTACTTCTCGTCAAGAGAAAATGAATCACCAAACCAAAGTTGCGGAACTTCGAAGCGCTCTGAAAACTTCCATTCAACACCACAAGGTGAAGCTTCTAATTTCTTTGTTTTGATGGTCAGTTTTCAGGATTTGTTTTTTGAAAAGCTGGCAAGGTGACTTGGAATCGTTCAGGCAAAGGCCAAGTTTTCCCACAATGATTTTCAAGATAAGCAATCCCTCTTCACTTAGAGTAACACACTTTTACTAAATCTGACATTTCCACTTTTTACTAGGCTATACTAAATTTAGTAAATATCTACATTTCTCATTTGTTAATGGTCTTGTCCCAGACTATATAAGGGTGAATCAATAATTCTGTATCCTATTAGTAGTTATCTGTATTTTGATCTGAAGTAATCCCTGTATTGCTCTGAAGAGCTGCTTTCGCTAGTTCCCAGACTTCGCGAATTCAAGCATCCTACGAAGCTGGCATCCCGATCTCACCCTTTCACTGTTGAAACTGTTAAATGTAGCTGTCTCTTCTACTCCAATAGCTTCATATCTTGCACCTCTCGCCTGTGGAACTCCCTTACCTATTCCTGTTTCCCTGATAGCTATAATCTTCAACTTTTCAAATGTAATGTCAATCGACATCTCCAGTTGCCCTGATCTATCCACTATCCTTCTGCCATTCCTTTCCTCTTTCATTCCTACCTGCTCCTGCTCTAAATCCTATATAACCCCTTGCATGCTAGTGGCTTCTCACCTTGCTAGGGGTGAAATGCTTAAAAACAAAAAAAAATAAAAATGATGTTAAATCTATATGATTGGTATTCATTGAATTAAGGGCATTGACAAGGAAGAAGATTATGTTGAAAAATATGATTTTTTTCTTTTCCCTGTGTCAGGTTGGAATTTGCTACGTTAATTCTCTCACTGTGTCTAAAAGAGAAATAATAATGTTAAATTTTGATGTATGCTATATAACATTGCCTAACAGGGGACATTGGAAAATTTCTGTCACCATATGCATGTGCTCTGTTGTAACCCTGTGTCAAACATATTATCATGGCATTTGTCAAACAGGTAAGTATTATGTTAAATGTCTTCCATTTATGGCCCACAAAATGTGTTCTCAAATACCTGATGCACCCAGTATATTCAGTATTGCCATAAATAATGCAACTCCTACCAATCTTTTAGTTAAAAGATGGGAGTTGGGAAATGCAATGTTGGTCTTGGCCTTCCCACTAACTTGGAGCATGTGCATGTAAATTTTGGTGCAAATCTGTCGAAAATTGCGGCCATGCATTCGTTACACACGCGCACACACACACAGATCCTGCCTTTTATAGATAGAGACTAGTTGACATACTCTGTTATTCCTGGAAAAACAGATAGCATGAAAGTGTCCTTCAAACAAGTTATTATTCCACAAACAGCAACAACCAAAATGTGCCTTTTTAAGGGTAGGTTGAAATATGAGCTTAGATAAAGTTCCCAAATTTCTTGTCATATCCTGTCTACTGCTTTGTCAATTAAACATTAAAAAAAGAATACAGTGAACTTGTAACTGAACCAGATGAAAGATATTTGAATATTATTCAAGACTATACAATATTATTAAAGCCTATGATTGAGATTTGTTGCTTTTTTTATTTGCAGATCTCCAAGAAGGTATCTTCCAAGATAAAATCCCCTGCAAAAAAGTCCAAAGAGGCTAATGACTCTGAGGCTGTATTGACTGAGGAGGTTGAACCTTCAGTATCGCCCAGCAAACTGACATGTCGTGATGTTGGTACACAAATGGATAACAATCCAATTGAACCAAATCTAACCACTGTCCCCGAGCCATTTGACATTGAAGCCTTGGAGCAGTTGCTGCAGGATACGACCGTACAGGCTTTGGATAGCAAGTAAGTAATCACCCGCCCAAACATTCAAGATGTTGTGTATGTCTATTTGTGTGTATATAATCTGCAAATTTGAATTTGTATTCGATATTGGAACATTAAAAAACAAAATTAATCCTTATTACACGCGCACACAGACACAAGTGTGTGTATGTATATATAATGTGTGTATGTATATATAATGTGTGTATGTATATATAATGTGTGTATGTATATATAATATGTGTATGTATAGATAATGTGTGTGTGCAAATGTGTACATATGTATGTGTAATATGTGGGCGTATATAGATGTATATATGTGTGCATATGTATATAGACGTGTATATGTGTGTCTATATATATCTGTGTATATATTTGTATATATGTATATGTGTGTGTGTGTGTGTGTATATATATATATATATATATATATATGTGTGTATGTATATATAATATATTTGTTAGTGTGTGTGTATGCATATGTATGTGCGTGTATGCATCTATGTTATATATGTGTGTATGCATCTATATGTTATATGTGTGTATGCATGCATATATGTGTGCGTATTTATTTATATATATATATATATATTTTGCAAATGTGTGTTGTTTGTTTTTGATTTTATTGACTGCATAGTATAGTGGTGTTAGTTGGGTACCATCTATGAGAAAGCACCATGATGCAATTCACTCCACCAGAAATATAGAAATTAGAGAAATTTTTTTTAAGTGTATGGTAGCTTCTTGCCACACATCGTCTGCAACAAAAAGGCTTCTTGTGGATGAAGATGCACAAAGTCCTGATTTCAATATCATTGAGCTATTATGGTGGGAAATGAAGAAAGAATTGCTCCAACAAAAACTCTGTTATCTCGCTTTGAGATTACTGCCAGGATGAATGGTAAAAAATTCCCAGTGAGAAAATCTGGACTTTTTTTTTTTTTTCGTTCAATGCCACATTGAAGTGAGGAAATTATTTGAACCACCAAAGGCAGCAACACTAACCTCAAGGACACATGTCACAGTGGATAAAGGCGTTAGTTAGATCCAGTGACAAAGAGTGTGAGTTCAATACTCGGCTAAGGCAGTGGAGAACTTGCAGAGGGGAATTAACAGGAGATAACTGATAACCAACATCCATTAAACATGGCACATGGAACTAGAACAGTCTACCCCAGTGGGTGAAATAAAGGGTTCAGTTCGACATTCCAAACACCTGAAGAAGGCCGGAGTGTACAATGGCTAAAATGTTGTAGTAAATATGGCGACAAAGATGAGGAAAATAGTCCAAATAATGTACATAATACCTCATCTCAGAAATATAGACATATACTGAAAGGCCGAAACGTTGTAATAAATATGGCGACAAAGATAGGAAAATAGTCCAAATAATGTAAATAATGTACATAATACCTCATCTCAGAAATATAGACATATACTGAAAGGCCGAAACGTTGTAATAAATATGGCGACAAAGATGAGGAAAATAGTCCAAATAATGTACATAATACCTCATCTCAGAAATATAGACAGATACTGCAGCAACACTAAGTTTATATTTTGATGTTTTGTACTCTTCATAATAATAAAGGTCACTTTTTGCAAAAACAAATTACTTTCTACTTTGAGAAAAAAAACCCCTGAAAAGTGGACTTTTCATTTTTTTTTATTTTTATTTTTTTTTTCATATCATTTTTTTTTTTTTAAACATCACTATTCTTAAAATCTGCCTAAGATGTCACTATGGACCACAATTTTGAAGTGGAGGGGAATATGGACCTCTGTAGTACAAAATGTGCTGATTGTTGATGATGATAATGCTTAAGTTACTCTAGCATCTACCATACAACATTAATAAAAATGTGCTTAACTTATTTTCTGGCCCTCAAAGATCATTACTGCTAATCATTCCCAATTTTGGGGTAAGATTAACAAAAGTAATTAATTTACCAAAGTGAAACAAAAGTTTGCACATCAGCATATTTTTGTATTCTTGGAATCTTGGAATGTAAATTACTGGAAAACAAGAGAAACTATTTTGTATGTCAGGCACAGGATCCATAGATTATTATGAAGTATTTATATTGTATATATTAAATTTTTTTTTTTTAATCAATTCACCCAAAGCAAGGCAATAATGCCACTAAGACACAAGGGGCTACATGGAGTGAAAGAGAACGAAAAAACTTTAAAAGGAACTGAAAACCTAATCCTAAACTATTAACGAATAATCGTTTGTTGTTTTGATTTCTTTTTTTTTTCTTTGTCCTTATTCATGATTTGTTTTTATTTTAATTCTTTTTTTTTTTTTTTTTAAATACCTTCAGACCACTGGATGACCTGCAGTCATGTTTAAGTAGTTTGCGAGCACAGATCTCTGGCCTGCAGGACCAAATTGATGCCCATTCAGCCACAATCCAGAATTCTGGAGAAAGTTGGAGGTAAGTTATACCTTAGATAAATCCATTTTGTTATTGAAAAAGAATTGATCAAAACTGAAACTTGTCATCAACATTTTATCCAATAAAAACCTGCATAACATATTGTATCCATATTTTTCATCCAATCAGAATTCTTATTCACAAATTATTTGCAGTAGTCTCTTGCCATTCCTCTCTTATTGTTCTCAAATTCTCTTAAATAGCCATAAGGTGGGAGTGCCACTAGGAGGCAAGGGGTTACAGAGGGTGAGAGCAAGAGTAAAGAGGGGTGTTTGAGTGAAGGATATAAAGAAGGACTGGGATTAGGATCAGTGCCTCAGAAGATGTCGATTGACATTACATTTGAATATTTGAAGATTATAGCTATCAGGGAAACAAGTAAGAGGAAGGGAGTTCCACTGTCAGGAAGTGTGAGAGAAGAAGCTGTTGGAGTAGAAGAAGTGACTACATTTAACCTTTTAGACAGTGAAAGAGTGGGACTGAGATGCCAACCTATTAGCACGCTTAAATTTAATTACAATAAATCAGTTGTCGGTTAGTTTTCTCATGAAGTCATGTGCTGAGTGTTTTTAACCTTCAATGTTTTAACTTTCCATGTCTTTTGGTTTTGTCTACTTTCAATCGGTATCTGCTGGTACGTCATTGAATAGATACATTTTCACAAAACATAACATTTTCCAAGATCTTCTTTTTGCTCTTGTGTATCCATGAACAACAAAAACTAAACTTAAATCATTTACTTATGCAGTTTGTTGCAAATAATTTGTCAATCTTTTAATCACAGTCACTTACGTTCTTAATCCAAAAAGGAATACATTCATTTTTTTTTAAATACATTCAAGACATTCTGAAGATTTACCGAGGCAGGGGAGTTTGTGGCATGTAGAAAAATAGGGTGGATGAAATAGATCAAAAAACAAGTAACTATATTTGCTAATCTGATCTAAGCAGGCATTTTCTCTATTTAAAATGGAAAATCTTTTTATTTGGTTAAACTGTTTTTCTCTAAATAAATGAATGGTAAATTCTGTTTGTCTGTGCGTTTGAAACCTCTTTAACTCGGGCCACACTTGCTCTACATAGATGTATTATACCTTTTTGGAATCTGGATGAATCCGGGATTGAAAATCTGCCCTTCATTTGGTGTCTGAATGTCCAGCATTAAGATTTGTGTCTGGATGAAGAACAAACAGTTTAAAAAAAAAAATTCAAATTTTAAAATAACTAAAAAAAAAATTAAAAGCTTTAAATTCATATTTAATTCAAAGTAACACAAAAACTTTGTGAATTTAAAAAATTTAGTTTAAAATATCTCCAAAATTTTGTGAAATTGAAGAAATCAATTTTATTTCTTCAAAATGTCAAGGAATCAGAGTTAAAGTGAGAGGTTTCATGACGTGAGGTTTTGAAGTTCTGCAGAGATTGTGAAATTGAAGTGATTTAAACTACTGTACAACAAAGATTTAGGAAACTAAACACAAATCATTTAGTTATGTAGTTTGTTCCAACTAAGTTTGTTAATCAGAAAAAAAGTATTTTAATTACTGAATGAAGGACTATACTTTTATGCATGTTTGTTTTAATAATTCACAACAAGGATTTATAGAGGGGGCGTTTATGGTTTATAGAATGCTGGTGACATTGAACCAATCCCAAAATCTTGCTGCAGTGGCTACAAGGGTATCTAGCATTATAAGGTGACAAGCCTAAAATAACAATAAATCACCTGGTAGGAGAGTGGAGCACATGAAAGGTCAAGAGGTAGTCTTTTAGATGTTGGCAGTTGCATATGTAACTGGGTAGCTACTATAGGCAGAGAAGCCGTCTTTGGGACATTGTGCCTGTAGCCAGCCATTCAACCAAGTGAGAGAGTGAGAGACATTGTTGATCGACATGCATGACTGTCTTACTTTGAAGCTGGTAAATATCTGGAGTAATATGAAAATTCTAAAAGTTGTCAATGGAAGAAAGATTCTGTGTCAAGTCACCAATACTGTGGAGTTAATAGAACATGACTAAAGCTGCAGGTAAAAATGTATTTGACAAAAGTTTTGATGATATTGATGTAATGCTAGGTATGAATGTGATTTCCAGTTTTTCAACTATCAGGTCATCCCATAATTTCTGTCTGAATTTTAACTTTTTGTTAAAATGAACGAAATTTAAAGACTATTTTATAATGTCTAATGGAGCTGAACATTATTTTTATGTTTAGATGCATTTAAACTGATCAAATTTTATTTCAGAGAACAATAAAATTAAATTTTGTTTGATTAAAACCCTGCTAACATGGAAGTACCCAAGAATCATTTGAGGCACATAATGCTTTATGAGTTCAAGAAAGGAAACTCAGCAGCCGAAGCGGCTAGAAACATTCACTCAGTTTATGGAGAGAAATGTGTGAATGAAAGAACTTGCAGAAGATGGTTTGCAAAATTCAGAGGTGGAGATTTCACCCCTGAAAATGAAGATCGAACCGGACGTCCAATTGAGTTTGATGAAAAGGTTCTTGAAGTAGACCTTGAAGAAAATCCTGTTTTATCAGTTGAGGAATTGGCAGTGAATCGAAAAGGGGTGATGTTTCATCAGGACAATGCGCGAGCCCACACAGCAAGAATCACGTCACAAAAGATCGAAGAACTTGGTTGGGAGAAAATTCCTCATCCACCTTATTCTCCCGATCTTGCTCCTTCAGATTACCATTTGTTTCGTAGCTTACAGAATCATTTGGTAGAAACAGCTTTTGTAACACAGGAAGAGGTTAAAACTGACATTTGTGAGTTCTTCGAATCAAAGCCAAAAGAATTTTACAGTAATGGAATTAGTAAGTTTGTTAATAGATGGAAGGAAGTCATAGATAATCAGGGAAAATACATTGTTGATTGAATCTGTAATTAAATGTAACATTTGGTCACTTGTTTTCTTTATTTAAAATTCGGACAGAACTTATGGGATGACCTGATATTTGCCAGAATTTGGAGATCCATTAGATGGAAAACAAAAACTAAATGAACTGGATAGCTGAAGAAGATCAGATAAATTAGTTGAAACATGTTGACATAAAACAACAAAGAACTTGTCGTACATAAGTGAAATTTAAAATGTGATGTTGATAATCCAGCACTTGAGAAACATCAAATTGGAATAGACCGTGAAAGGCATGAAACCAATTTTATAGAAACAAAGTGTAACTATATATCAGCATAATGAAGAAATTAGAAAATATTAAAAAAATAATGTAAATGTCTCCCCACCTCATTTATTTTTGGATATTTAACTCTCTTCTCTTGGTACTTAACTACCCTGACAAAATGTTTCTTCTTAATATATAGCAAGTAATAAGTCAAATTTTTCCTGATTAGTCAAGTAGCTTTCTGAATACGTCAACCAAAGAACTACAAGAAGTTTCTGGTTTCAGTCATAATATTTGTGTAAATTACATCCAGTTTTATTTGTTTACTGAAAATAAAAAATGAAACCTTTTTTTGTATTTTTGAAATTTGATAATTCATTTTTTTTAATATTTAATTTGATCTTTCAAAATAAAGCCATGATTTGAACCACTGACTTGGATCAATTGATTGATTTGTTTAACAGCATATCAACTCCGTATGGATCATTTAATGCTGGTAATATTTTTACTATGAAAACGTATTTTTGTACTTTAATAGTGTTTTCACTCTAGCTAAGGGGTTTACTATTTGCCCATGACTGGGACCCTAACAGGTGCTACCACCCCAGATTAGGGTGAACCTGGGAACAACAGCAACTAAGAGGTGGTTTGATGCACTTCAAAACCTCCTGAACAGAGGCCTTGCTGTTAGATATAGTTTATCGTCATACCCAGGACATTGGGATACCACATTGTACTAATGAATGGCTAATAAATAGAAAATCTTATATATATATATATATGGGATTAATACAAATAAAATTTGTTAATTAGCTGATTGATGTTATATTCAGCATCTTGATTCTAGAGTTTCATGGATGAACATTTTTGAAATAGTTCTGTCCACTCTCCCATTTGGTTGGTTTTGTTTAGCGGCATATCAACCATGTGAATTATTTAATGCCGAAATCTAAATATTTTGAATGTAATTTTATGTCTTCAGCTACAGATATTTTGAACGCAAATTTCTGTTTTTATCTACAGATATATTTTGTACATAATTTTATACTTTCAGAGCAAATGTATGTTTTTTTAGATGCGTAGTTTATAGAACATATAATATATTGTTGGTAATTTTTGAAAAAAAATATTACTGGTAATTTCACTACAAAAATGTTTTGCTGGTAATTTCACTATAAAGATGTAATTTTTTTATTTTTATATTGACTGTCATTGTGCTATAAAAATGTATTTTTGGTCATTTTAGTATAGAAATGTATTTTTGGTCATTTTAGTATAGAAATGTATTTTTGGTCATTTTATTATAGAAATGTATTTTTGGTCATTTTATTATAGAAATGTATTTTTGGTCATTTTACTATAGAAATGTATTTTTGGTCATTTTAGTATAGAAATGTATTTTTGGTCATTTTACTATAGAAATGTATTTTTGGTTATTTTAATATAAATATGTCATATTATGAATTCAACAATGTGTACATATGTTGTTAGTATGTAAAATCTGGTCTTAAATGTGACCTATAAGATATATGCAGATAAATATCTTGATAACAAGTGTTGATTGTTCTGTATTGTTCCCACAAATCTGCATTATACAGACAGTTGTTGAAAAACACTGAATATATTCGAAAACAGTATGAATACAGTTTTCGAATATATTCAGTGTTTTTCAATACAAGAAAAATATGACTATATATTGATTATAAGTACAGTAGTACATTGTCTGTCGAAGCAAGCACATGTTTCAACACATACCGATGTTGACATTTTGTTTAAATACTAAAAAAAGATTACAATATTATCTCCATGGAGATGATACATGGCTAGAAATAGTATCCAAGTTGGTACAACAATTAAGTATTGTTAACTGTCCTTTAGTAACCCATAGTGGTTGATATGCCATAAAACCCCAACCAACCAACCTTTAGTAACCATGAAGTGTTTGAAGACCCCTCCCCCAACAAAATGTTTCTCTTTAACATTTAGCAAGTAATAATAAAATAAAATCTACTTTTTGTAGATTTGAATTTTTGAAACTTACAAATTCATATTTTAATATTGGCCTATTATTGCAATTTTTCAAAATAACGCTTTTTTTGTCTATATTTCTGAGATGAGGTATTATGTACACTATTTAAATTATTCGGACTATTGTTCTCATCTTTGTCACCATATTTATTACAACATTTCAGCCATTGTACGCTCCGGCCTTTTTCTAACTAATGCCTTTATCCACTGCACCATGTGTCCTCGAGGACACATGGTGCAGTGGATAAAGGCGTTAGTTAAATACAGTGACAGGACCCAAAGAGTGTGAGTTCAATACCCAGTTAAGGCAGTGAACTTGGAGAGGGGAATTAACAAGAGATAACTGACATCCATTAAACATGGCACATGACTAGAACAGTCTACCCTATTGAGTGAAATAAAGGGGCAACATTCCAACCACCTGAAGGCTGGAGCGTAGTGGATGGCGAAAATATATTTTATAGTGAAATTACCAGCTGTTTAAAAGAAAAAAAAATAAATACATTTTATCTGGCAATATATCAAAAAAAAAAATGGCCAAAACGGAATAAATATGGCAATGAGTCCGAATAATGTAAATAGTGTACATAATACCAGCTCAGAAATCTAGACAGATACTAAAGGGCCGAAACGTTGTAATAAATATGTCAACAAAGATGAGGACAATAGTCCAAATAATGTAAATAGTGAACACTTTTTTTATTATTCTTAATGGAGTGTTATAACAAGAAAATAAAATTTTAAACTAAATGAAAATCTCCATGGTACTAATCCTGTGATATTATCTCACATTACTAATGTTGGATTAATGCCTACTCTCTCGAAAATGATACGACAGGAATTAACGAGTTACAAGATAGCAACCTATGATTATCATTATTATCAGTATAATCCATCCCCCTCCACACTCTTCCTCCATTATTACCTCCGCTAACTTCGTTGAGTAATACCAACCTTATAGATCATCCGGCTTTCTTTTCTTTCCTCAGTTGGGACCAGTGTGTTATCACAATAAGATTGATTCCAGTTTCCCAAAATACATTTTTATTAAAAATTTACTGACAGTATATTTTTATAGTGAAATTACCAGCAATGCATTTAAAAGAAAAAAAAAATTACCAACAATACATTTTATCTGCTTGCTATATATCTAAAAAAAAAAACACAGGTTTACTCTGAATGTATAAAATTATATAGAAAACATCTGTATTTGAAAGCATAAAATTGCATTCAAAATATTTAGATTTCAGCATTAAATAAGGTGTTGATATGCCGCTAAACAAACTCAACCAACCAAACATTCATAGACACAGAATCCTTATAATTAATACTGGATTTTGATTCTAATTTTTGGAATTAGTTCCAGAGTTTCATTAATGAATTAAATTAGATTTACATTTACCTCATTAAGAGTTTGGTAACTTGAATTATTTACATTATTTGTATTCTTCAAACTGTTGTCTTCATCTCTTTTGCCATATTCACATTTCAGCTCTTGTATGCTTTGGCCTTTTTCAGCTGATTAGAATTTCAAAAGGTTTCAGTTCAAAATTCCAATCACCTGAAGAAGGCCGAAGCATATAACAGTCAAAACATCATGAATATGGCAGAAAAGATGAGGACGACAGTCCAAAGAATGTAAATAGTGTAAATAATAACAATACCTCATCTCGGAAATATAGACACGCATTGTGTTGTTTTATTCTATTGCTTGTCCATATCGGTTGAATATTCTGACCTAATGGCTTCTTTTTTTTTTTTTTTCCCCTTCTCCAGGGATGTAGAGGCACAAGTGGTGGAATTGCAACAAGTTGTCCAGACAGTGACAAACACGACATCATGTAGCACACTGACTACAGCTGTTGCTGCCCAGAGTGAATCAAGTCAAAGTAATGTCCCAGACACGGTTGATATCTAAAATGTCCTGATATTTAAAAAAAAAAAAAAAAATCTCAAGAGACATCTGAAATTTTTTCCATGCATTTTTCTAAGAATTATTTTTCTAAAGATGATCTTGTTCCTATTTCTGTTCGGTAGGTAATAATCCATGTGCCTCTCCAGGCAAACGTTTTGGGTCTGAATGTTTCTCTAAGAGAAAAAGAAAAGTTAGAGAGATTTCAAAATTTTTTAAGTTTGCCATGAGGAACACATGGGTTAGCTCCCATATTTTTTTTTTTTTTTTTTTTTTCCTTTAAATGAAAATTCGTTCCAATTGGAACGATTTGCTTGGCGCTACTTTTTAAGGACAGATTTTAAAAAGAAGTGGGGGGGAAAAAACAGTTGAAATTTTTTATTTTTGGTTTCATTTTTGATTTGAAATGTTGAATTCAGACCTTCACTAACAAACCATCTTTGCAACAAATTTATGAAAGGAAGAAAACCCCAAAATGCCCTGACACAAGGATCATCTTCGATAGTCAATGAAGAATAACTTTTAAAAAGTTACACTGGCGTTTCCAAAGAAAGAAAATGACGTTTTCTCTTCGTTTTTTATGTGTATGTATTATTTTAAGAAAACAAGGATGGTTAATCTAGAAAAATTCAAACTACTTCCAAGTAGGTCTTTTTTTATTTCTATCATTTTCAGTCATGAGCCCTGTTTTTCCCTAGCATTCATAAACGTATAATTTGTTTGATTCATGCAGTTTCAGTTTGTAATTTTCTTAAAAATAAAGTGAGAAGGGTGGAAAAAAGGGCATTAATTCTTCCATTTTTGAATTTTTACTTTGAATTTAAAAACAGACACATCGTGAAGTCAGTCCTGAAAAGAAAACATTTAACCATTTTTTTTTTTTTTTTTTTTTTAAAAAAAAAAAAAAAAATTTGGAGGAAGAAGAATTTTGGGTTGAAAATATTTAAAATATTCTATAATAAAGTTAATTTTTTCCTATAATACAATTAAGATTTTCTTTCTTATAATACAATTAAGATTTTCTTTCTTATAATACAATTAAGATTTTCTTTCTTATAATACAATTAAGATTTTCTTTCTTATAATACAATTAAGATTTTCCTTTCTATAATATTTTCTTCTCTATAAGTTTTCACTATAATTATGCAAAGATTTTCACTTTTCTATAATAATGTTTTTATTTAGTATAATAAAGTTAAGATTTTTACTTTTACTATAATAAAATTAAAATTTTTTTCTATGTTAAGATTTTTACTTTCCTATAATAATGTTAAGATTTTTTTCTCTTTCTATAATAATGTTAAGATTTATTTCTTTTCTATAATAATGCTATATATTCAAGTTTTACGTGAAGAGAAATTTTTGAAGAAATTAGGATATATTTACAAATTTTTTTTTTTTCTTTTTTGTATGTTCTTCCATTTGTAAATTAAAACCTGATCAAACATCACCCCCACCCCCCAGCTCCTGAGCATGTATATGGTGCTACCAAAATCTCTGGGAAACCTAAAGTGTAAAATGGCTACTCAAAGATAGAACACAGGTTTTCTTATTTCTTAGTGGAGACAAAGGAAATGCCTTTTGGCGATAGATTGATCATTCAGAGTTTCTGAACTTTTGGATAGTACCAACTACGTGTAGACATAAAAAATGTAAGACATATTTTAAAATTTGTTAAGTAATTAGATTTACTTTTTCTCTACAAAATATTTCCACTTTTAAAAAAAAAGAGAAATTTATTTTGAAAAATAAATGTGCTTACCCTGCAGACACACTTCCATTATTTTTAATTTTATTTAAAATTATTTAAAATAAAAAGCTAAATTTATTAATGGGAACAGGCCAAATGACTGTATTTTTTTTTTTTTCAGTTACATATGGACTGAAGAATTATTTTAAAAATAATTATTGTATTTGATTGTATATAATCCCCCTCTTCCCGCATCCCCTCCCATTAAAAAAAAAAGGCTCAGAAAATATCTTTTGGGTCTTATATGCAAAATTGACGTCTCTGGTAGGCTAATGTTTATCCAGACATCATAAACTGCCAGTAATTGTCTTGAACTTAACCCCTATAAATAGGGGTGGGGTTTATATACTATCAAATACCATAATATATTGAAATCATACATGAAATTCTTATATTACTCATGTATTTTTTTTATTCTATTGTGAATTTTAAAAAATATAATAAAACATGTTGATATCTATGGAGTTGAAAATTTTTTAATTATTTTAAAAAAAATATTACCCTCCCACCTCCAAGTGTCTTCCAGATTCTTCACTTCCCAGTTCATTAGGCATCGACTTTCTCTTTTATTCCATCAATGACAAGATTATTTTCAAAGTCACCAATCTGTCAATGTGTTGATCAAGCTAAACTCTTTGGGACCTCAGAAATAAAGTTTGCCTTTTAAATGTTAATTTTCAAGGCAGGCAGGCCTTTATCCCTTCGGAAATTGGCCTAATGTGCTCTTCCGATCCCTGTTTGTCTTGCTTTATCATTTCAGATTAATCCGAATAGGTAACAAACATTTTATAGACCCCCCACCCCAATTTTATTTTTCAGTTCCACCTCTCTTTGGTAAAATTGTTGATTGTATTCATTTTTTTTTTATAAAAGAAGTGTGTGTGTGTGTGTGTGTGTGTGTGTGTGTGTGTGTGTGTGTATGGGTGCTAGCATATATTCCCAGCATCCCTTGTCTATGCACATGTGTAGCTGCCCCAATATAAGACCTAAAAGGGCAAAACATGTCACAAGAAAACTTAATCCACTTTGTCATACATTTTTCCTCAATATTGTTTTTGACATATAAAAATATATATCATTATCTCATATATATATATATATATATATATATATATATATATATATATAATGAAATAAATAAAGTCCAACAATTAATTTAAGACATTTTTATGTTTAACATTCTATTTATAGATACAAATATTTAAGTAAATGCTCTGTTTATAATAAACAGTATTAAATAACATTTACCGGCCTGAATGTTCGAGAAATTTTCATAGAATATATTCATCCTCCAACAGGAATCAAACCTGTATCCAATACGGAACCTTCATATAGCCTGACGTGCCTTTAATCGTTCGGGCCACAGAGGATCGTTCGGTTAGCAAGGTTGATTTTACTGTTTTTAAACTACAATCTTCCATGATTTTCTCACGAACATTCATATCTGCTCAATGCATATCCAAATGTAAACAAATGACGTCATGCATTATGAAATGGACAAAGTCCGACAATTATTTTAAGACATTTTTTATGTTTATACGTTCTTTTTATAGATACAAATATTTAAGTAAATGCTCTGTTTATAATAAACAGTATTAAACAACATTTACCGGCCTGAATGTCCAAGAAATTTTTGTAGAAAATATTTGTCCTCCGACAGGAATTGAACCTGTATCCTATATGGAACCGTCATATAGCCTGACAATCTGACAATTATTTTAAGACATTTTATGCTTATACATTCTTTTTAAAGGGCACCTCGGCATGGTGTAATGGTTAGCAAGCTTGTCTTGCTAGAACAATTACGACTGAATAGTGAGTTCGATCGTCACTGCTTGCCCAATACTTTCGACCTTGTGCCACATCTGAGCTACGCTTGGAAAATCACTATTTATGGGCACCTCGGCATGGTGTAATGGTTAGCAAGCTTGTTTCGCTAGATCAGTTACAACTGAAAAGTGAGTTCGATCCTCACTAGGTGCCCCATACTTTCGGCCTTGTGCCACATCTAAGCTACACTTGGAAAATAACTAACCGTTCTTTTTAATAATTGTCGGACTTTGTCCATTTCAAAGTCCAACAATTATTTTAAGACATTTTTATGTTTATAAAACATAACCGAATGCTCCTCTGTGGCCCAATTGGTTAAGGCACGTCAGGCTATATGACGGTTCCATGTCCCTTACGATCACAAAGTCCAGGCTCAATGTTGCTTACCTTCAGTGATCGTACAAGAACCGTGATCTGACTAAGTCTCTTTCTTTGGCTTTTTATTTATTTGTTTCTTTACTTTTCACCACCCAAACTATTTACTCTTCACCCCCTACTTTAGATTTATAGCCTGAACGCTTCACTGGGTTTCCCACAAAAAACAAAAAATCGACATTAAATGACGCTATAAAAGAAGACAAGTCACAAACTCAGTCAACCATTACAAAATTAAATTTTAAAAAGTTATAATTGTAAGCTCATTTTATAGTAGGGCAGGTTGATTTTTGACTTCAAATAATCCTTTGTCCATCAACATTGCACTTGCTGTGAAAACTGGGGTTTGATGTCATAAGTACTGACACCAAAAATTAGCTTTTTCCAGTTCTTGACCATTTAGGTTTAAAATCATCTGAGAAAATTTCTGCAGGTTTTTGCTTACAAACTGATTTGAAAATTTTACTCTTTCAACAATAAATTCAAATAAAGTCCACATTTTTTGTATTATGCATTGAATGGAAAATTTATTCAAAGCAGAAATTTATGAATCACCACAAGCAAAATAGGCAATTTTTTACTGTATTCAATAAGTGAAAAATGTGTAAAAAAAAAAAAAATTGTAAAAGATTACAAAAAGTATACTCAATGAATAAAATTTGTTCGATCATAATTAATCAGAACAAATAAATAGATAAAAGTATATATAACACCCTAATACTGCTGGGCACAAATTATAAGACAAAATATTTTAAATTTGCATTTTTTATTGAAAAAAAAACCGCACTGTATAACATGTTACATTATAATATAGCTAAATTGTTCAGTATAGATTTCCTTTGAAATAAATGATGGTCTTATTTGATGGCACAATGATCTAGTAATAATGTGCTTGTGCCATGTATCTTGCTTATATAGAGTTTGCAAAGCTTCAGTAAATTATAAATTTTATAAGGCTGTGTTATGATTACTGGAATGAAATTCCAATGCTACGACTTTGAATCTAAACATAGTTTATAAACTCGTTTCCTCAAAAAACTAAAGATTTGGG